GCTAGATTTTGTGTTTTATGGGGTCAAGAGAAAATGTGTCTCTGCAAGTCATCTAGGAGTCTTTAGTGAATTCATAGATAAATAAAAATGTCAATAATATCAAATAATCAAGTTATGTAGATATTAGTGCTTTAAATATCAGTTTTATGCAGAATGTTTACTGATAAAAGAAGGTAAGTAATGACAATGAAAATATTTAAGCCCCAGAACTCAAACCAGAAAGAGTTTTATCTGCTATACCTTTTATCTTGAAATTACAGATGTTTGAATATATGCATCTATTTGTTGGATAGTTTGTCTTTATTTAGAAAATATGGATGTTTTTCTTGTTTATTTTCCTGTTGGAGCAGAGTAGATTGACCCTGAGGTTCTGGTGCCGATCCGCTTTCGGCCCCCCCTGAATGTACATTGGTTATTGCTTGGCCACCCTTATAAATAATTTCTGGCTACGCCTCTGATCCAATGGAAGCCTAGTGGTTCTGCTGAGGTCCAATGGAAGACCTGTGGTTCTGATTAGGTCCAATGGAAGCCCAAGTTGCTTTGATAGCTGCAGGTCATCTGCGTTGCTGGTTCTGGTGTCTCTCAAAAAGCAGGGGTCCCAAACCTCCTGAGATTTATGGAAGAACAAAATCCATATTAAATAAATATAAATGTCTTTAAAAGTTTTTATATTTATAAAAACATGGTAAATTCAATTCATGTATTTTTTGGGGGATCACTGAAGGGCTCACAGGCTTAAAATGTTTTGCTCTAACAGGTTCTGGCACAGATCCCACCTTAATTGGAACAGAACCAGCAGGCTGCCTGTGGAAGCGTCACATCGGGCCTCCAGAACCATTAATTCAGGTTCTCCTCACTCTTCCTCCAGAATTCAGGGTCTTTGTTCTGCAAATGAAATGAAAAAAAATTATTTCAATCTGGAAACAGGAGTTTGGACCTCTTAACAAGCCTGGTTCTGGTTCCGCTCAACCTGGGTTGGATCCACCTGGATCAGACTCCAGGAGCAGGTAATTTCTCTTTACGATCTTCAATGGTTAACCCTATGGCATCTTTTCCTTCTAAAGGTTTTTCTTCCACTAGATTTTATTGGATTTCTCATCCCTTTTTTTTCTGATACTGGAATTGTTCTGATAATTAAACTACATTTTTTATTTCTAGATGAAATATACCCTGAGCTATCTCTATAGTTCTGCTGCTATAGGCTTAGACTGCTGGAGGACATAGGGACCCCTTTTTCATCATTCTG